TAAAAAATGCCAATGTCGTAACTAATCCAAGAAATATACCAGTGGGCCGTTAATATTCCTAAAAAATGCCAACATCGTAACTAATTCAAAAAATAAATCAGTGGGCCGTTAATATTCCTAAAAAATGCCAACATCGTAACTAATCCAAGAAATAAACCAGTGGGCCATTAATATTCCTAAAAAATGCCAACATCGTAACTAATCCAAGAAATAAACCAGTGGGCCATTAATATTCCTAAAAAATGCCAACATCGTAACTAATCCAAGAAATATACCAGTGGACCATTAATATTCCTTAAAAATGCCAACATCGTAACTAATCCAAGAAATAAACCAGTGCCCGGGCCATTAATATTCCTTAAAAATGCCAACATCGTAACTAATCCAACAAATAAACCAGTGGGCCATTATTATTCCTAAAAAGTGCCAACATCGTAACTAATCCAAGAAATAAACCAGTGGGCCATTAATATTCCTAACAAATGCCAACATCGTAACTAATCCAAGAAATATACCAGTGGGCCGTTAATATTCCTAAAAAATGCCAACATCGTAACTAATCCAAGAAATATACCAATGGGCCGTTAATATTCCTAAAAAATGCCAACATCTTAACTAATCCAAAAGATTGTTCCTCACGTGAAAAAGTGACTCGATAATCACTAGCTTTCACAGTAAGGTGAGTAGACGTATATGTAGATGTTGCCCTAACTCTTGTGTCAAAATGTTCATCAAACTCAAACTGAAAGTTCCCAATTACCCATTAACTGAATCTGTCAATCCGTTGGACCTAACCCATGTCGGAGAAGGAACATTGATTATAATTTACACAAAACGTGGCAAGCTGTTAGTAAAATGTACAAGCCTGTTGTACACACAAAATCAGATGACTTTGAAAGGTATTTGTACTCAAAGTTATGTTCGAGAATTGATGATGTTAGTCTGACTCAAAAGTCAAAGTGCAAGGTGATGTTCATGTGAAGAATGAAAATACTTTTTTGCATCGTATAGTTTACATATTCCATTTGCATAACTTTCAGGACCATTAATGCATATCTACAGTTTTTTTTTCCATATCCCTGTATATCTGGAATTCAATCTTCTCTACCAATGAACTGACACTAAATCAGTAATGTAGGGTCAAATTTGACATTGTATTGTGTTGAATGGCACTCTGTAAAAAAAAGTCGTGACCCGT